GCAAAGTGTATTAGACACGCAAGAGAAGATCAAAGCAAAGCTGATGGGTATAAGGCAGGTCTCCGTCGGAGACCACACCAAGCCTCTCCCAGGAATTTCAGAGTGACAGCAGAGATGGGTCAATGGCTAAACTACTTACAGTTGCCATCTGAGTGTGTGTGTCAGTCTTTCCTTCTGTGTCTTTGCATCACAGCAGCTCAGAGATCAAGTCTGTCAGTGAGTCTCCACCCTTGCTCCAGGACAGATCATGCCTCCAAAATCCAGATAAGGATCAGTTCATCCAAGCGTGGCTCTCACCCCTCCTGCAGGGAAAGGGAGGTCAGACAATTTCACAGTACAACCTCCCTCTGACTCATGCCTTGAGGGGGTTCTCCGTTGGGGTTGCTTGGATTGGAAGGGAGATGGAAGAGTGGGTGGGCTAGGGTGCCCAGACAGCAAATGTGAAAAATCGGGACTGGGGATAGGGGGTAATAGGAGCCTATATAAGAAAAAGACCCAAAAAATCGGGACTGTCCCTATAAAACCGGGACATCTGGGAGCAGGGGGGGGGGGCTGATGGGGGGCTGCTGACGTATTACTGTGGCTCTTTGGCAATGTACATTGGTAAATTCTGGCTCCTTCTCAGGCTCAGGTTGGCCACCCCAGCACTAGACGCTCTATAAACAGCTCTGCAGTAGGACGGCCATGAATAAAAACTGTGGTTGTTGAGCGGGGCGAAGAGACAGAGGCGGAGTTACCCCAGAGGCCGTGAAGCGCCAGCGAAGGTTGTTGCCTCAGGAGAAGACGTCGTGGAGAGACTAGGGTGGGCTGGGTTTGGGCAGTGAGACACGCATTGCCCCCTCCTACTTTCCCTGTAGAAATTAGGGAGAGAAGGGAATACAGCCTGGGGGGCTCCCTTTTACTGGGGAAGAGCCCTTTAAAAATGGTAGGGACCAGGGCAAGGACAATCATGGGTGGTACCTTGAGACCACTCACGCTCTTAGATTGCTTGGAAGTGTAGGTGTGACTTGCTCTCTCCACGACGTCTTCTCCTGAGGCAACAACCTTCGCTGGCGCTTCGCGGCCTGTGGGGTAACTCCGCCTCTGTCTCTTCGCCCTGCTCAACAACTACAGGTTTTATTCATGGCCGCCCTACTGCAGATCTTCCAGTCTCGGCGCCTCCTTTGCAGATTGTAGCGTTTTAGAGGCTCCTTTGAACCACCTCTCTTGATCTGCTCTAGGAATTATTTACGGGGATTTCTCTGGCCTGGGTTACGCCGGAGGTCAGTCTGGATGATCACAGTGGTCCCTTCTGGCCTTGGAATCTATGCATCTAGAAACCTCTGTAGCGCTTAGCCGAGTGCGCCCGTTATCCTATTCTGTGCACCATGTATTAGACTCTATGGGCTTGATTCCCGACTGCTGAGGATTTTCTCTAGTCATTTACATGGGGTAGTGAAAACTGTATTGAAACAGTGAGAAAGCTGTCTCTCTTTAAATCCTCCAGGGTTTTCCTGGTCTTGTTTGCAGGCTAGGGGGTTCTGCAGGGAAGCGTGCGACCTGGGTCTCACCGCAGTTATCACACTCACGTAAATCACTGCACGAGGGGCAGAACAGTGGCGGATCAGACCCTAAGCATCTAGAACTCGCCCCTAGGGGGTTCTTGGCTGGGTTTGACCTGCATGTCTTGGGTCCACTTTTAAAAGGGGCTATATTTCCTTAAGAGATCAAATGTGTCAATTACAGCTGAGCCCGTGAACTGTATCCAGTCCATCACGGATCCCGCGGGCGTCAAGGGAGCATTTGTTAATGCTCTTCTAGAACATCTCTGTAGAGTTTAGGGAACTGTTAATTCATCTCCAGAACCACGTTCTGTGGCTATTAGGGGCCATCAAACCCCGATGTCTTCATTATCTAGTTTAAGGTGGATTTGTTCTCTTAAGCCAGCTCTGCATGGGATTGAAGGTTCTAGAGGCAGCAATCTAAATACATCATGGAGTACGGTAGCCTCTTTTCTATGAGCAGGATTATTTAGCATAGGGGGGCGGAAGCTCCCTGGGAATGGGGCAGGGGTTTGGGAGGATGGTGGGGCAGTGAAGATAAGTACTGAGGTTCAGTGGGCAGGAGGGAGGCAACCAGCTCCAGGCGGGTCCTGGAGGTTCCTACCGGCTCCTGGACCCATCTGAACACCTTTGGGCCCTGTGGCACCTGCTCCAAACTCTCTGGGACTCATTGTCACCTTCTCCTCCCCCTGAGCATGTGTGTGTTTACGTGGGGAAGGAGCCTCCATAGTATTTCCACTAAGGGGCACTAGCTTCCTTTGCCCCCGCCCTCAGTTATGCTATCCCTGCTATTTAGCAGTGGGTTGGAGAAGCAAAAAGCCACATGGGAATCGTTATACGTGTAAGCTGAGATTTCCAAAGAAATCTAAAGGCTATTAAGCATCCAACTTCCATTGGAAGCCCCTTTAGAAATTCCCCCCCTTAACTGATCAGGGGCGCTGACAGGACTAAGAGATCAGGTTCCAACTTAAGGCAGAGCGTATGCTCTTGCAACACTTATTTAATCAATAGTCTAAGATCTCTTCGTTCCTCCTGGCTGGAGGGTAATTCTCTTCTTCTGCTTAATAAAACAAAGCCCTGGAAACCATGCTGCTGGAAAGCACCCTGTCATTGTAATGTAAACTATACCTAAGGGATTTGGAATTTCCCCTTGGCTCTGTCCCACAGCCAACTTGTTGGCTATGGTATCTGATCACAGACAACAGGGTTGAATTACCCTCCATGGATCATTTATACAGTTATGTTAATGAAATATGGACAGTGTTTCCTTCCTAACAAACATTTCTAATTCTGTTACTTCTCTGGTTGTCACTGGGAGTCAGACTGCAGAGCTGTTGTGCTGATTCACCCTGGTACTCACACTGGGTGGGTCTCATTAGCTCCATTAAAAGGAAGAGTGTGTTTCTGGGGCAGGCGAGAGCTAGAGGGAAGAACAGAGCGAAATCTTGAGCAGCCACCAGTAGAGGGAGCTTGGGGACAAAGAGACGTTTGTAGAGCCATGTTTTAGCTTTTTAAGCTGAGATTTCTGGTCACCTAAGGGATCTGGATAGGAATCAGGCATCCAGTTTCTCTAAGACCTATTGAAAATCTCAGCCATCATTAAAAATAAAGTTCAAGTCCGGAAAGGTAAAGGATGGGTCGTATCCATGGTGAAGGACCAGCCGTAGTATCCATTGCGTGTGTCTGCTATGGTAGGGCCAGTGTGGGGATGTCACCAGTTCCCACTGTATTCCACAAATTCTTATTCTGAAGCCACTGAGTGTCATTGATGTATTTCAGGTTATGTCAGCACTTCCAGTGTTAACTAAGGTTTTTGTGATGGGGGGGAAAAGGGTGATATAATGGTTTAGACACTGCCAATAAACATGGAGGCATGAAAGCTTGCGAAACATTTGGAGCGTGCTACCCGCCCCACTCCTCTTTGTCCACTTCTTCAAATGCGTCCAGCTTCAGGGGAAAAGGAGGATTATTTTTGGTTAATGTCCTGGCTTGAAATTCATCAGGCCTGAGTTCATAGAATCATAGAATATCAGGGTTGGAAAAGACCTCAGGAGGTCATCTAGTCCAAGCCCCTGCTCAAAGCAGAACCAATCCCCAACTAAATCATCCCAGCCAGGGCTTTGTCAAGCCAGGCCTTAAAAACCTCTAAGGAAGGAGATTCCACCATCTCCCTAGGGAACCCATTCCAGCACTTCACCACCCTCCTAGTGAAATAGTGTTTCCTAATATCCAACCTAGACCTCCCCCACTGCAACTTGAGACCATTGCTTCTTGTTCTGCCATCTGCTACCACTGAGAACAGCCGAGCTCCATCCTCTTTGGAACCCCCTTTCAGATAGTTGAAAGCAGCTATCAAATCCCCCCTCACTCTTCTCTTCTGCAGACTAAATAATCCCAGTTCCCTCAGCTTCTCCTCGTAAGTCATGTGCCCCAGCTCCCCCAATCATTTTCGCTGCCCTCCGCTGGACTCTCTCCAATTTGTTCCATACTTAGTTCTCCCACCAGTTTTGCGAGACACCTTGGGCAGCTCACGTAATCTCTCTGTGCCTCAGGCCCTCATCTGTAAAATGGGTGTAATAATTCTTCCTTTCTCCGACCTTTCATCTCTTGACACCGTGGCTATATCTAAGAAGTGTAATTCCCAGCTTGGGTAGATGTCGCATGCTCGTGTACTAAAAATTTCTGCATAGACACAGCAGCACGGGCAACGGCTGGGGTTAGCCACCTGAGCATAGACCGAGGCTCTCGGGCAGGGTTGTACTTGTGTGGCTATCCTGCATGGTTGTCCCCGCTGCTATATGTAGGGCACTAGCTTGTCCAAAGTTCCAACTGAGCGGGGAATTACATCTCTCAGCTGCAGTGTAGACATACTCTGTAAGCTCCCCAAGGCAGGGACTGTCTCTTGCTCAGTGTTTAAAGAGCGCCTAGTGCTGGGGTGGCCAACCTGAGCCTGAGAAGGAGCCAGAATTTACCAGTGTACATTGCCAAAGAGCCACAGTAATACGTCAGCAGGCCCCCATCAGTTCCCCCAGCCCCCTCCCAGCGCCTCCCACCCACCGGCGGCCCCACCAATCGGCCCCTCCCGCTCCCTCCCTGCCCCTCCCAATCAGCTGTTTTGTGGCGTGCAGGAGGTTCTGGGGGGAGAGCGGGGGAGGAGCAAGGGCACAGTAGGCTGAGGGGAGGGGGCGGGAAGGGGTGGAGTGGGGGCAGGGCCTGTGGCAGAGCCAGGGGTTGAGCAGTGAGCACTTCCCTCTCTCCCCCCACCCCCTGGCACATTGGAAAGTTGGCGCCTGTAGCCCCAGCCCCGGAGTCAGTGCCTATACAAGGAGCCACATATTAACTTCTGAAGAGCCGCCCCTGGCCTAGTGCAATGGAGAGCTGCTCTCCATTGGGGTCCTCTTGGTGCTATGATCATACACCTCATAATATTTTGGGGAGGAAAAACCAGTAAAACGACAGTTTAAAAATGACAGATGCTGTTTATTGGACATACAGTACCATACTCCCGAAAGTCAGGGGGCTGTAGCCATGAGGACAAAGAATTAGAAATCAGTGCTGGAGTTTATACATCAAAAAAGCAATCACCTTTTCCACCGGATCACTCACAAAAAAGACGGCGCTGAAGATATTTTTTTAGTTGCCAGGAAGACACCCGCAGCTTAGAACACATGTTGGGACACAGATCTTACCTTATTATAGAGTCGTGGAACTATTTTCTTTGGCTAGAACAGATGGATTTGTAATTTTGTGAGGCTGCCGCTATAATTTTCTTTTCTACTGTGAATTAAATGAACATGCCCAAACAGGAAAGGGATTTCAGGCAACATATATCTAGGCACGTTCGCACAGCATGTAAATGGAAATCCCCTTTCCCATCAGCTGTAAGCGATGGATTTAACTGGCCGTGGTGATCAGACGGGTCCCGATTCAGCAAAGTGCTTCAGCTTATCTTTAAGTTCACGATTCCAATGGGAATGAACATTAAAGCACGTGCCGAATCAGGAATACGGTCTGGCCTCTGTGCCGGTCAGAACCCCACAGGTGAAACAGATTGCAAGCAATGCTTTGGCCTACAACATTCCTGATTTCCATGGTAAGATCCTGGCTGTACCCAATCCACGGGGAAAAGGTGAAAGGACTTGAGTGTGGGGATTAGCTCAGCTATTTACACAATGGATTTCTAAGGGCTGCACTTGCTTTCAGTAGGTAGGAAACGTGTTTTCATTCATGCGGGGATCGCTGGGGGCCTCGTCTTTATCTGATGGATTTTTTGCTGGTCGTGGTCTTGGATACGATTTTCACGCTGGAGCCGCTCCTCCCTCCGGAGCTCAGACTTCCACTCAGGCCTCTTCCACTTCCAGAGCTGAAACCGCTGCCACCTCCAATGCTCATCCCGCTTCCGTAGCCATATCCGCCGCCGCCGCCGCCGCCGCCGCCGCCAAGGCCGAATCCGCTCCCGCCTCCCATGCCGAGACTGTAGCCGCCACCTCCTCCGCCACCTCCCAGGGAAAGCCCACCTCCATATCCTCCTCCCAGGCTGCCTCCGCCACTGTATCCAGTCGAGGAACTGACCACCGCTGCAAAACGACAAGCACAACAAGTGAGATCTCTGTGGTTTCCAGAGGGAAGCCAAACCCAGACATCAGCTTCAGTTGGAAAAGCCAATGATAGGTCAGAGGTCGAGTCACTTACAGATGCTCACGGGTCCAACTCCCTCTCCTGCCAGCCTGTTAGGAAAGAGAGAGACAGGAAGGAAAAGATGTAAGTGACACCCTCAGTTCATAGACAACCAATGACCAATACAGATAGATTTGCAGACATTAAGGCCAGAAGGGACCGTTGTGGTCATCTATTCTGATAGTCCATGCCTGAGAACCTCCTCTAGGGATTCCTGCATCCATAACTCCTGGTTGAGCCAGCACATATCTTTTAGAAAGTCCCCCAGTCTTGACTTAAAGACCTACAGTGGTGGAGAATCTACCCTGGCCCTAGGTAAGTTGCACCTTATTTCGAGTCTGAATTGATTTTAGGCTGGAATTTTCAAAAGGGCCTTACCGACTCCCTTTGAAAATTCCAGCTCCATTGCCTATTAGCACCGACCGGTATTTTTCAGGATTGGAAATTTCATGGAAAAACTTTTTTAAGGCCATGGGAAAACGGGAAGGGGGAGATTGGAAGTTTTCTGAATGTTGGTGCATTTTCTCCCTCCCATTTTCCAGCCAGCTATGGGGCCAGTTGAAATTTGCTCAAAGCCCAGATGAAATGTTTAGGTAAAAAATGTAGAATGCTGATGAAAACAATGGAAAAGGAGGGAACAGTCACCAGCCCGCCTCACACACATAATTTTGTCAGCTGGATTTTCAGCCTTATGAATGTTTCCAGCACTAGGATTCATAGAATCATAGAATATCAGGGTTGGAAGGGACCTCAGGAGGTATCTAGTCCAACCCCCTGCTCAAAGCAGGACCAATCCCCAACTAAATCATCCCAGCCAGGGCTTTGTCAAGCCGGGACTTAAATACCTCTAAGGAAGGAGATTCCACCACCTCCCTAGGTAACCCATTCCAGTGCTTCACCACCCTCCTAGTGAAAAAGTTTTTCCTAATAGCCAACCTAAACCCCCCACTGCAACTGATTCCCATCTTTAAACTCTGAATGTCAGTCAAACATCACACATCAGTCTCCATCTAATCTAGCTCATAGTACTCATGGTCATGGGATTGCATTTGCAGCTCCTTAGCCCATCTCTGCTCCAATTACAGCAGCATTTTGCCTTCTTTTTTATCGTCTTCTCATTACTGGGACACATTTCCGGTGTCACTCGCAATGTGCTAGGAGCTGTGCAAACATGAAGGAAGGCACCTTATTTGCTCACACGACAAGGTAGCTGTTGTTCCGGCCCTCGTTGCGTGTATGTCTACACTGCAATCGGGAGGGGTCATTGCCGCGGGTGTAGATAGACATACCCAAGGCAGCTTTGATCAACCCAGCTTATTAAAAATAGCAGTGTGAACTCAAAGGTGGAGCCCAGTCACTGCCCAGGTGTTGCGGCTTATTTTTGGCAAGTGAGCTCAATCAGAGCTAGCGCAGGTTCTGCAGTCACACCTCGGCCTTGCTGGGTAGACATACCCTGAATTATACCGCTTAGGGTTCCAATCTCGCATCCTGCCCTCAGGGGAGCAATGCGGCTGCTCACTTGCCCCAGGGCTGCAGTAGCATTGCATCGTGCACCCACCTGCTCTCCTCTCCTTCCAGCAGCTTCCTGTAGGTGGCGATCTCGATATCCAGGGCCAGCTTGACGTTCATCAGCTCCTGGTACTCCCGCAGCTGGCGCGCCAAGTCTGCCTTGGCCTTCTGCAGGGCATCCTCCAACTCAGCCAGTTTCGCTCGGGCGTCCTTGAGGGCCATTTCGCCGCGCTCCTCGGCCTCGGCAATGGCCGCTTGCAGGCTGGCGCACTGCAAACCGGGAACGTTGAAGTGTGATTATTATTTAATGGGGTAATCAAATGTGGGAGTGAAAGTTCACTCTGGGCAGGTAAGCCCATGTAAACCTGGAGTCATAAACAGATCACTGAAATAACTAGCATGAATCCCCTTTGTGCAAAGCAGGAGTCACTCCATTGAAGTCAATCGATACGATTCTCTTTCTCATGCATCAGTGTAAGTCAGGCGTCACTGCACTGACGTGAATGGATATGATTCTCTTTCTCCTGCACAGATGCAACTCAGGAGTCACTCAATGGGTATGATTCTCTTTTGCATGCTCCAGTGTAAATTGGGAGTAACTCCCCTGAAGCCAATGGGTGTCATTCCTCTTTTGCTTACAGTATTGTAAACCAGGAGTAATTTCACTGACTGGAATGGGCATGGGACGCCTTTCATTGACAGTAGTGTAAAACAGCAGCCCCTCCATTGATGTGAATCACATCAGCGTAAGTAAGGGGCAAACAGATATTTTCTCAATAGCACAGACTGATAGAAGATCAGGGTTGGAAGGGACCTCAGGAGGTATCTAGTCCAGCCCCCTGCTCAAAGCAGGACCAATCCCCAACTAAATCAGTGGTTCTCAAGCTTATCGGTGGTGTGTATTGTGTCTTGGGTGGAGTCCCTCTGGCAATGATGTGGCCAGATCCTCAGCTGGTGTAACTCGAGCTGCTTCACTGTTTTTAATAGAGGAAGCGAGAGGAAGGATGGCCCAGTGGTTAGAGCACAAGCCTAGAACTGCTCCGTTGGCCACCAGAAAGTTACCACTGAGAGTTAGAAGAGTTGAGTAAAAGGAGGGGCCAGTGGCTAGCGATTCGGGAGAGACGTGAGATATCATGGTAACGGAGGCCTTGCAAGTGTGAGTGCTCGGTGTGCAATGCACGGTGTCTCGTGCAAGCTTCCGTCAGGCTGGCATCACCGTTTCTTACAAAGGGAGAAGCCCCTCAACCACCTCCCTGCTCCGAACCCATCAGCCGAACCGATACTCAGCGCACGAGCTCCCGCCTGTGCCTCACGCCCAACCACTAGCCTGCCCCAGGGAACGAGGGGCTCCACCCTACCTGCTTCTTCACGTTGTCGATTTCATTCCGCAGCCTGTGGATCATCCGGTTGATCTCGGAAATTTCGACCTTTGTGTTGCGCAGGTCATCACCGTGCCGCCCAACGGAGATCTGCAGCTCCTCAAACTAGATAGTCAGACATAAGGGGGAGGGGGAGGGAGAACACGACCCATTACTTACTGCAGCGTTGGGGAATTGTATAGTATCCATTTAAATAGATTGGGCGCCCTATGTCTTGTACTGCAGAAGCCACCGGGCACTAGCAGGAGAAAGGCTGGGCCTTGTGTGTCTGTCTAGCATTAGTAATCACCGTACTTGGAATTCAAACGTGTTTCCACTTATTCTTAATGTTGCGTATAGAGCAAAGACACACTCGTAATGACTACAGTAAAGAGAGCATGCACGGCCTCGCACCCCAAGGACTATAGACAGTGTGGCCTAGTGGTTAAAACAGTAATGTGGGAGTCACAAGACCTGGTTTCTAATTCTGGCTCTGCCACTGACTCTTTGGGCAACCAGTGTCAAGTCACTTAAACGGCCCCGGCCTCAGTTTCCCCATATTTAAAATGATACTTATCCACCACTGTTAAGCGCTTTGAGAATGAATGATGAAAATCTCTGTGGCGTAGTTTACTATTGTTATTACTGTGTGCAATGAGCCAAATTCATTCCTGGTGTAACTTAAGAACGGCCGTACTGGGTCAGACCAAAGGTCCATCTAGCCCAGTGTCCTGTCTTCCGACAGTGGCCAGTGGCAGGTACTTGAGAGGGAATGAACAGGACAGGCAATCATCAAGTGATCCATCCCCTGTCATCTACGCCCAACTTCTGGAGAACTTGATCAGTCTAAAATGTGATCCTGTACCTGTCTAAGTCAAGGAGAAAGCTCTCATTGGTGCAGTGTGAGGAACTGAATGCAAGCAGTAGATAAGAGGAATAAAAAAAGGCAAGAACATTATTGACCTTCGGTCCCACTCGTGATCCTGGTTACTCACCTTAGTCTGGTACCAAGACTCTGCCTCAGCTCTGCTCCTGTTGGCAATCTCCTCATACTGTGCTTTGACCTCCCGGATGATACTGTCCAGGTCCAGGCTTCGGTTGTTGTCCATAGACAGGACGACGGAGGTGTCGGAGACCTGCTGCTGCATCTGGCTCAGTTCCTACAAGATACGCAAAGCCTGGGTCATTTGCATTGTATGTAGAGCTGACCCCCGTGAGGCAGCTGGTGTCCTGAGATCCCTGCCCGTCCTCCTGACCACTTGTGTCTCTCTGTTTCCTTGGGCTCCCACATCTGTCTGTCATTATCCGCCTTTCCCCTCTTGTCTTATACTTAGATTGCAAGCTCTTTGGGGCAGGGACTTTTTTGTTCTGCATTTGTACAGCCCCTAGCACAGTGGGGTCATGGTCCGTGACCATGGCTCCTAGATGCTACCGTAATACAGCTAATAAGTAATAATAGACCTGGTCATAAACCTGGCTTTTTTTCCTCCAAGAAAAACGTTGAGCAACCATTTTTCATTCAAAAATGTTTTGATTTGTTTTGGTGTGGAAAATTTCAACATGTAATAAAACCAAGGGTTTGGGGTTTTTTTTTTTCATTTTGATTTAATTTGAATAAAAAAACAACATTCCTTTTTGGGAATTTTCAAAAACCCAACCCGAAAAGCAAAATGAAACCAACAAAAATGTTTGGGGATTTTACCATTGAAAATTGTTGTCAAAAATGACATTTTCCCACCGGAAAAAAAAATCTCATTTTTGGTGAAAACTCCAAAAAAAATTTGGTTGAAAAGTTCTGACCAGCTCCAAATGTATGGGATAGACAGTCCCTTCTCTTATTTGATTTTTCTCCGTGACTCTCCGTGATCTATCTGCTGCTGAGTCATCAACCACTGGGATGAAGAGAGAAGCCAGTCCTGTCGTTTGACTAGTAGCCATTTGTGTGGCAGGTTCAGAATTCAAACCCCGCTGCTGATGGATGATGAGGGGTTTGTTACAGTAGTGCACACTAGTGCTTGCTTATCAGAGGAAGTATGGTGCAATGGTTAAAGCGCTAACCTAGGACACCTGGGTTTAATTCTCTTCTCTATGCGATGTTGGGCAAATGTTTTAGTGTCTCTGTGCCTGAGTTTTCCATCTGTCAAATGAGGATAATAGTACTTCCCTACTTTACAGGGGTGTTGGGAGGATAAATACACTGACAATTATGAGGTGCTCGGGTACCATGTTAAAGGGGACCATACAAATACCGTCAATTGACACATCCCCAGTCATCAGTGCCTGGTGCAGGAGGATGGGGAACTCGCTACGTTTCTAAAACAGTGGGGGTCCGCTGCTTACCGCTTCATACAGCGCTCTCAGGAAATTAATTTCATCGGCCAGCGCATCTGCTTTGGCCTGCAACTCGACCTTGTTCATGTAGGAGCCGTCCACATCCTAAAGGAAAGAAGACAAAAGTCATGGACATCCTGATGAGCTACAGTGTCAGCCAAAAGGTCCTGGTGACGACTGCAAAAAAACCACCCGTCCGCTGTCATCAGCCTTAGCAGAGTGTTATTGTCTAAGCGGTCGCTCTATCGTGATGTACAAGGTCTTTTAAAATGTGTCATTAAAAGGCAAGGCCGGGCCCTTCTTCTGTGGCCATGGATGGTCCTAGGTGAGCAGAACTGAGGTAGTGCCCCTTGGTGCGGGAGGGGCAGTGTTGTTCCAATCGGTGCGGGGTGATGATTGGGGTGGGGCAGGGGGCAGAGGGAGAGGAGGGCGAGTAAGGAGAGTTACTGGGACAGGGCAGCCAGCTCTCAGGCTGGGAAGGGGCATCCTGGTAGTTCTGACTGCAGTTCCTACAGCAGTTCCTGGGCAGCTGGTGCCAAGTGCCTTGTGCCAGCCCTTCTCAGCCCCAGCGACCCTTGATTTGGGGGTGGCAAAGGTTTAGGGTGCAAGAAGGTAAGGGTGGGGCTACTAGATTTACCACTAGGCATAGCCACCGGCCACTGTTTTCCATGTAACAAGCATGCAACCAGCATGGAAGAGGCCTTCTTCTTCTCGGCCCTGAGGGGGTTTCATTTCCAAGGTGAATGACGCCATACCCAGTTACTCCAGCTGAGCACCTCGCCCACCATGTATTGCTAAACATTCCAATGCCGGGTTGAGCTGTAATTCTCAGACAGGCCCCCATCGAGCAGGAGCTGGGGGAGTCCACAGCTCCCACTGACGTTGGCTGGACTCTGCAGGTACCACACGCCTCTTGGACTCAAGGCCGTGAGTGACGCTGGGCTACTCACCTTCTTGAGCACCACAAAGTCATTCTCTGCAGCTGTGCGCCGGTTGATTTCATCTTCATATCTGTTGGGAGAGAGGAGAGAGAGGGCTAGATCAGGACCCGTCCGCTTGAGTGACTAGCAGAGAAGGCACAGACCCTTCCTTGAGTGCAGGGGACTGGACTGGACTAGAAGCTCTCTCAAGGTCCCTTCCAGTCCCACATTTCTATGATGCAAGCCACTCCTATTCCAAATGATAGGGGCCATGGAGGGGAGGGGAAGGATTTTAAATCCAGAGCAGTTAGGAGCCCAACTCCCACTGAAAATCAATGGGTATTGGGTGCCTAGATCCAACCTGTGCCTATGAAAATCTCGCCACTGTGTCTCCAAGCTTAGCTCAGGTATCAGGTCTTGTGGGAGCAGAATCCACATCACTGTAGCATTTCGCCTACAGCGGCCTCAGAGGGAAATGGTCCAGTGTCAGGTGTGAGTACATGAGCATGGAAACCTAAGTTCAAATCCTTGCTCTGCTATGACTTTGATAGAGTCAGACGTTTTAAAGTGACTTAAGCTCCTAAATCCCTTGGGAGCTCTGGAAAATGTTACCCTCCATTCCCTCTCTTTAACAAGGGGTACTAGCACTGCCCCCTTTCAAGGGGGTGTTAAGATAAATACGTTCACATCTGCGAGCTGCTCAGATGCTGCGTAACCTGGGGCCGTATAAGTACCATCCATTTCCTTTAGCTGTGGCTTGCTGAAAGAAGGGGGTCTACATTTGAAAAATAGTACCGAGTCCAGAACTGACACACTTGCTTAAAATCTAGCCCCAGATGTAAGGGTAGCTACTGGCTGGTTACTCACCCAAAACCTGCACAGAATTACCCACATGGTTAACTTTCTGCATTCTTCGTAGTCCCAGCTGAAACCAATGGAGCGACCCACCAGGCATCAAGTTAAGCATGTGGACAAAATCTTTGCAGGATCGGGGCCCATTATCAAGTGTCACTAATTGTTTTAGATGCAACTGCCATGGAAATGCCTGTAAATACATCATAAAGCAGTCTGTCTAACTAACTGTACCATTTAGCTGGAGTTTTGCCAAAGCACTTTGTTGTGCTAAAAATATGCTTCTGTGAAACTTCATGGCTTAGGGCTAAATCAAAGAGGCAGGGTGGGTCATGGCAAGATAGGAGAAAGGAAGCATTATCTTGACCGGGCTGCAGCAAAGGTGATCTGGTTGTCTCCAAACGGCTGTTGCCAACTCTGTACCTGATTTTGGCATGGGAATGAGATGAAAGAGGCAATGAAGAGGGATTTGAAATAAGACACGGTCTGTTTCCCATGCAGTATTTCCATCCTCCAGAAACCATAGTATAATGAGTAAAACAGACTATGTATTATATTTGACCATTAAAAAAGCCAATGGAAGATACAAATACAAGAAACACAAACGAATACTAGACGCCAATTCATGCCATGCCACCATGCCAATATTATGTGCGGATTCCTAAAAACACATCTATCTGTCTATCTATCTATCTAAACTTTTCTGATCCTCAAGTGTAATTTTCTCAGATCTGCACTTTGCTAGTCTTGCTACTTAATGCTTTACTGGATGCAAGGATTAAGAGTGTCTTGTAAATATGAGGGATGGAGAGAAGGCGTTTTAGATATGGGGTAAAATGTTCAAAAGCGCCGAAGTCCCACTGAAAGCCACTAGGATTTAGGCACCTAAGTAACTGTCACTTTTGAAAATCAAAAGGCAATGGGTCTTAGTTCTAAGTGCTAGGTCACTTTTTGAAAATGGGACTTAAGCTCCTAAGTCACTTTGGTGCATTTGAAATTTTTGCACATCGACTATACTAATTTTAAAATCCACGGCTGTTTTATTTTTAACAAATCAGTGGGTCAAATTCTGATCTCAGTTACGCTAGAGTAACTCCATTGGCTTCAGTGGAGTTAGAGCCAGATGCTCCAAGATCAGAATCTAGTTCAGTGCATGCATCTGTTTTGAGAGTAGCAAATGCCACGTGATGCCCATGTAAGGCATTTTGATGCTCAATACAGTATGAAATGCCTGGCTTGGTTTTTCATGCATACCAGTAGCCTAGATTTTAATGCAGACTTTCTTACTTATTCTTGAAATCCTCCACCATGTCTTGCATGTTCCTCAGTTCTGAATCCAGCCTTCCTCTCTCCCCCAAAAGGTTATCTAGCTGCCTCCTGAGGTTATTAATGTAGGCGTCAAAAAGAGGCTCCAGGCTCCGTTTGACAGTCGTCTGACCCTGTTCCTGCAGTAGAGTCCATTTGGTCTCCAATACTTTGTTCTGTTGCTCCAAGAATCGGACCTGGGGAAAAAACAGAACCCACAGGCAGGTGCTTAAACCCATTCAAACAATCCACAAAACCACTGATGAGAAAAAGGTTGATTGTTCAGTTCAGGGCAGAGAGAGCGAGATGGGGGTAGGGAGAAAGTGACAGATACTTTTCATATAGGAATTTTGGGACCAGGTGCCAGATTTTCAATGGCATTTAGGAACCCAAAGATGCAGGCAGGATTTTCAAAAGAACTTAAGCAGGGTAGGCACTTTTGTAAAGCGCACTAGGTGCCTATCTTTAGGTGCCTAAATATCTTTGAAAGTCTGGCTCCAGATTCACAACTACTTTAAATCAATGTCACTCCACCTCATTACACTAGCTGAGGGTTCATTATCAAGTGAAAGCTTGAGAAGGATTTAAAAAAACAGTTTATTGTCCCCCCCCCCCCCCCAGCGCATCTCTGTGACAAGGAGATTTAAGAAAAATTCCTGGTTTTTAATCAGCGATTTCTCCTAATACTAATAATCCACTGCCTGTGGATAAACCATGGTGAATACAGAAATTGCCCAGACAACACATGCTCATGGAAAAGGATAGCATTCAATTTTTTTTCTTGAAGACACTGAACTATCCAGAGAAGATACTTTGCAGCCTGTGGGTTCAGGACAGGTGCTCACCTTGTCGATGAAGGAGGCAAATTTGTTGTTGAGGGTCTTGATCTGTTCTCTCTCCTGCACTTTCACTTTCTGGACCTCCGGGTCGATATCCAGGTGGAGCGGCGCCAAGAGGCTCTGGTTGACGGTCACTTCGTGGATGCCGCCAGGTGGACAAACGGGAAACCCAGGGCCACCCCTTCCACCGAACCCAGGGCCACCCAACCCATAGCCACCGCCAGCACCACCTAACCCATACCCGCCACCTCCACCGAGAGCAAACCCACCACCTGCTCCACCACCGTAACCAAAGCCAATGGCTGATCCTCCACCAAAACCGTATCCTCCACCACCACCAAATCCACTCCGGAGACCTCCGCCGCCGGTACTGTAGGAAACTCTTTTATTTCCACCTAGGCTGTATAGGCTTCTGCTGCCAAAACCACCACCTCCAAAGCCACCAGCTCTTCCTCCTCCAACTCGAGAGACAGAGACCGAGCTGAAGCTGCTTCTGCCGCCACCACCACCACCACCAAAACCTCCGCCTAAGCCAGCAGAACCTGAGCTGAAGGTCTTGCTTCCACCCCCGCTTGTTGATTTTCTCATGGAGATTCGACTCATGGTGGCTCGTTCACTTGAAAACGAAAAGAGTGGAGAGCAAAGTGCGGGAATAGAAGCTGTGCTGCGGGAGAAGAGCAGAGAGCGAAGGAGATGGAACCCCTCTGATGTGAGAGCGGGGCGCCGCTTCTTTTATCTGCTTGGAGCACTTGGCATGGGACGCAGAGACGATCCGCTGCATTCATGGGCTTGACGTACCTTGCAGCAACTTGTCTTGTCAAACACGCCTAGGTAGCAGCCTGGCTTTGAAAAATGCATTGTTTGTGGGCAAAAAAGTAACGGAGTGCACTTACTTGGCCTTGCACAGGAGGGTGGTTGTTTTTTTAATTAAATGAGATTGTAGGCCTGATTCTGAAACAGTGACTCATGAGATTTGGCATGAAGAGGCTACTCAGGTGTGTCAGAACTAGTCCCTGGATCATCCACTATCACAGAGCTAGCATCTGTAAAAGACCATACCAGCTGCTCTATTAACAATTGACTTTAACTGGTAAAGTTACTTCCACGCTCAAGTCTTTGCAGGGCTCGGGGGATGGTTCTTACATTGCAAAGGGGCTGCAAGGTCTTATCACAGAGGACATGAAGGGGGGAGGGATAGCTCAGTGGTTTGAGCATTGGCCTGCTAAACCCAGGGGCAGGGGGCTGGACTCAATGACCTTTCAAGGTCCCTTCCAGTTCTAGGAGATAGGATATCTCCATTTATTAATTATGATACACAAGCTGCTTAGAAATCTGCATACCTAAAGACATCAGTAATGCCAGTTTCAGCTATTACAGCAGTGGTGTGTGTGTGAGAGATTGATTTTCAAATCTCCTTGGGAATTTAGATGTCCAACTCTTGATCAGTTTACTGGGAGTTGGGTGAGCAAATCCTCTGGGCAACTTTGAAAGTCTTAGCCGTAAGCTTTTTTAGCTTTAATTCATATTTTTATAGCTACTGCAAGCAGAGCTGTGAATCACTGTTGAAATGGCTTTCGAAGATGAATCCAACTAATCCTTGCACCAAAAAAACAAATCAATGTAGCCCCACATTTCAAGAGAGACTTCATTGCAGAATTGTGTAATGAGGCTGCAGATGATGTTCAGTCAAAAAAAAAATCTATACTACATTAGGGAGTATTATCATATGGGACTGCCCCCTAAGGAAAAGCATTATAGATTTGAACTGGAATGAAATCAATAGGGGTCTATAGAAATTACTCAAATTCTATAGGGTCAGAAAGACACTGCAGCCTTGAAGTTACTGGAGCTACACCAGTTGAGGATACGGTCTATGGAATTTGGTACATAATGAGACATCTACAGTCTGAGCCAACCTATGGAATTATACAGGAGGGATGGAATTATCTATTAAATTCTATAGGCATGTTTTTAAAAAAAAAACCTAATAAAAAGGGTAGCATTTCCTAGTCAATGCTACTGGACTTCTCAGTCAGGGTCAATTCTAAAAGTAAGGGAGTGAGGCTGTGTTTTTATTGTGCTTGTTTTTCACCTGCTGAGCTGCAAAATTACGACGTTCAACGGGGGGGGTTTCCAGTCATCAGTGCCCAGTAGTGACATTTGCTGGTGGAATGCACAACATTCTGGTTTTAGGTCCGATGTTGCACAACCTCACTCAGGTAAAAGATCTGTTGGCGCTTACCGCACCGGTCAAGATTTTCAAGAGTTTCTGTTTGATTTTGGTCACTTTGGATTTTGGGTGCGCGACTTGAGCCAGTTGAAGGGGGCTCCAATTCTCAGCGAGCCGTTTCTGAAAATCAGTCCCCTGGAAGGGATCGCAAATCGGGCAAGCCCCCGAAAATCACTAGAAACTTTTGAAAATCTTGGCCAGTGGACTTACTCATAAACCAGACTCCGCCAACCGTGTCCGTCTTGAATGGTACTTCGCTGTGCAGTTAGTTCCGTTGACTTCAATGGGCCTGCTGGCAAAGTAAGATACTGCTCTGCATAAGGAAAGCAGGCAGTTCAGATCCCGTCTCGAGCTGGATTTTTGCAGAGTTGGGTGCATGAGCAGCCAGCAGAGATAATGAATCCAAAATTAGAGGCTTAGGGGCATCATCATCGGATCATAGCTTGTTTTCTGTTGATAACTTTCCAGAACTGGTTTCCTTTGCCTGAGAACTTGAAAGAATCTGAATTAAAACTGATTTTTTTTATTGCAGTCAGAAAACCTGATGCTTGCACAATGTGTGTTCCCCCAGCATTCCTGTTGCCACTTATTGCCAGTTATGTGAGTCATTAGCACCTGAAGCTCATTCAGGTAAGAAATTAGGAAATTAATCATTTAATTAAACCTCCAATGGCAGGGATAAGGCTGAGTTGTAGCAAGGGGGTGCTGTAATCTCGGGATTGTAGAGTTTAGAAAGCGCTTGGCTGCTTGCATATCTGGAGGTTACATTTAAAAATGTAACGTTATCTACGACAAACATAATGACATCAGCTCCCATGTGATCTGTCCAGACATTGCCGTAGCAACATGGATTCCATTCCAACATGCATTGTCCATTCCAACATGCATTGGCTTTATGGACGATATCAAGACTTCGATCCTCCTCCCATTGATATCAACATAAGCAGGGAGTCTACTGACGTCAGTGGATCTATACAGATGTAAAAGCTGCACAAGGGAGAGGCGAATCGGACCCAAAGTGTCTTAGATTAATAGGTACCTTCCCATAACAGCAAGGGATACATTTTCGGCAAGTGTAAATTGGCGTGTATCTATTGATTTCAATAGAGCTACATCCATTTTTACACCAGGTGGGAATCTGGCCCCATTTACTCCAGTGGAGCAATGCCAAGTTATGCCAGCAGGACCACAGTGTGAAAAGTTTGAATTAAAAAGTATAAAATGTTCATTTTTATTTTAATGAATAAATGACTCTACAGTGGAATGTCTAAATATGCATGTTGCCCCCAAATAATGTTAATTCACTGGATTGTTACGAAGAGTATCAAAATGTAAAGCAACTGGCGGCGTGAAACTAGGGTGACCAGACAGCAAGTGTGAAAAATCGGGACGGCGGTAAGGGGTAATAGACACCTATATAAGACAAAGCCCCAAATATCATAGAATCATAGAATCATAGAAGATCAGGGTTGGAAGGGACCTCAGGAGGTCATCTAGTCCAACCCCCTGCTCAGTGCAGGACCAATCCCCAACTAAATCATGTCACTGTCCTGCTTGAAAGTTCACATTCATAGAATCAAAGACTATCAGGGTTGGAAGGTGTGACGAACTGGGACTGTTCTTGCTGGGGTGTGTGAATGCTGACAGGCGAGTGTGGCTAGGATGGTCTGCATCGGGGGAGGGGAGTCTGCCCGAGGGAACATACCTGAGCTTGTAACATGAGAACCCAGGAAGGGGTTGGAGGCCAGGTGACTCCGGGGCCCAGGAAACTGAACAAAGGC